GTTTAGATTATGGCTCATATGGTTTTCTGACATGTTCAATTTCCATGTAGATCTTGACTCAATTGTTTGGGGTTTCGACTCCCTGCCCGCAGGCAACCAGACCAGAGCACTCCAGCCTCAGCTACGAAGGCCAAGGAAGATCTCTTGGCGGCGGAAAAAGCTCTAGATGACGATGACACCGACAAGCCGGTGCCTGCCAAGAACCTCAGAAAAGTTTATGCTTACCTTGCAAGCTTGCATGCAAAAAAAATTACCATCGTTTGAACTACAACAGGTTTATTACATCAAATCATCAAACCAATTCAAAGCCCATGCGCGTGCCTAAAACTTAGCCAAACAAGAACATACCCACATGTAAGAAAACCTCCATAAGCTAATTACAACGTGCATGATTGATATGTTAACTTAATTAACATTGAAGGCATCAATACAACCATGATTGCATCTGTTAGGATTATTTTCCGCGGCGGTGAAAGGGCTAACCACGTGCATTCCAATTTGCAGAGCGGCAACCTTAGATTGGATGGCTTTAGTATGAGCAGGCAGTTGAAGGCGACTCACTCTGGCTCCAGCTTGGAGGCTTCAAGGCCCAACCAACCATAAACCTTGAATCCTAGACCCCAAGCACCCTAAAATCTTCACCCTAATCATTATAAGCCTTATCCCTCTAAGGAAAGATCAGTCTTTCCAGCCTCAGCGTGCGTCTTTGGCCGATCCCTTTTCCTTCTTCCAGTTCGGATCTGCGCTTCGACCCAAGTTTAATGCCTCAAGGGTTCAGTAGAGTTATAGTCCCCTTCTTGGGTAGATAGGATATGGGGTATGTGGGGATCTTACTGTGCTATCGAGCATTTCCATATTCTATCTAGGGGATTATGTATAGGGTTAAGGGATACTAGCCCATTAGTAGAGACTCACATGGAAAATTAAATGGAAACTAGTGAGACAGTTGCTTCCAGGTATAATTGCGCATAGTATGGCCCTAAGTTCCTTACACGAGTGTGGTATGGGGTCCCTCACATAGACCTCAACACGAGATTGTTCATTTCTTACTATGGGTTGCTGTGTTTATGGATGTAAGTTTTGAGGGTTATTTATGGGCTTCAGGTTGGATAGTTGCCCTGCGGTATTCGTCATACGTGCTGCCCTTGACTGCGCGGGTGTTTGGCCCTTCAGGAGTCAGGTCCTGGGTTGAAATTCATGTGGTAGTTTCCCTAAAGAGGGGGACCCCCAATATGGTACCCTCTTGGGGATAGAATCTTGTTGGCTCCAAGACTGGCTTGGACTGGGCAGTGAGGTGGGCCCCAGGCGCTGACCAACATCTCTAAGTTCAAGCAGATCTCGACCCCTTGCTCTTGCTACACATTTTGATTGGTTGCATTATCATTCCCAGCATTTGTGCCTCGTGCATGCAAATGCCCAAGTGACGATTCCTGCAGGCCTCACGATTACAGAAAACTCCTGCAACAGATCCATCGAAATTTCCAGAAGCATCACTGTTGCTAGGAAGTCCAGCGCCCCTTCCTGTCTGCGCCACCACTCCAAGACAACCTTGCCAGGATCTCAGTGGATGCTGCAGGCCCTGTACCCCCACACGTACTTGTGGTTGCAATGTGATGTATATACGATCTACTCCCGTACAGCCCAAGAAGTTTCAGGTAGCAGTCTGTCTTAGGTGGCCGCCCTGATTCACAAGTTCGCTGCGGCCACGAACAGCACGCTGCTCACGGAGCTGTCACCTGAACAGCTGAGCAAGGAAAGTCTGCAGAATCTGCTGCGCAAGCTGGAGACAGAGTCGCCGGATGCCGGTGAAGATTCCGAGCTCAAGCGGATGTGTGAAACATATCAGCAAGAGCAACTTGGAAGCAAAGGACCTCACACCTCAACGAGCACATGATGGTATTGGATTATAAGAACTGCAAAGAATGATATGGACCAATGCGGCATGCAAAGCCAGCACGTGCTGGCACTCGCCACCAAGGACCTCCAAAAGCATAGAGGAAGACTTCTCCAAAGAGGTTCACAACCACTACATGGAAGCCAAGGCCACTGACTTTGATATGTCGAATAATGTCTTTTAGGTCCTTCCTACTTATTTCGGTGTTCAGATTGTAGGTGCCGTGCCCTATACCCTAAACCCTAAACTACCCAATGACGCAAGGCTCAAGAGGAGAGGAAGATATTTAAGCGGGAGGTGGCAGCGCGCGAGCATCTCCTGGTTGAAGCCTGGCAGGAATGATTGCTGTCAGCTGTCATATGGGTAACAGGGTTGAGGGTCCTGGTTCAGGGCTTAGGGTTCGTAATAGTAACCGTGAGAGTAATGGCAATAGTACAGCTAGTCATTTCCCATGACGCGCTCATTTCCAGTGAAGCCACCGCTGCTGTTGCTATGGCAGCTCCTCCTCCTCCTCCTTACTGTATTGACCGGCTGCTTCTACCATGTAGGTTGGTCTGCTGGCTATGGGGCCATGCAGCGTTGATCATCTTCATTCTCACCACTTCTGCGCCGTCACCATAACTTTCACCCAAGCCATCAGCATTTTGCATTACATCTGGCCCTTCCATCCTTTTTCCTTCATTTTGGATCCGCTGCCGAAAGTTCGGACCTTGGGCACTGGGTCCCCAGACCTGCGGAGGTACAGCCCCCCTTCACCCATTGAACTCGCGTAGCGTTTCTTAGACGGGGCTGAGGTGGTTGGCAGCGTTTGCAGTCAAGCCATTGAAACCTACCGAAAATTTCCGGTGGGGTGAAACTGCACCGCCAAGGCCTTTGGAAACACATCTCATCGGCTAATGGCTGCAAAGCAGCTCATACAGCATGGTGCTGCCTCAGACAGAGAAAGGCTGCTCGGCTGAGATAGCGCTTCATTGGCAAAGAAGCCGTCACCCAAAACTTCAATTCAAATTACGTCGTAGATGAAGTTTGGATATTTCGGCAGCAGCTGCAGCACTTGTCTGCGCTCAGGTTCCAAAAGCTTGGACAGGAAGTGGAGAAGCTTGGTCAGAGCAAGGCAAGCACTGAGCTGCAGACCCTCCTGGGGAGCTTTGGCAAGCTGGTTGAGCAGGAGGAGGAGGAGCTCACTGAGCCTCGGACTATAGTCCCCCTTAAGTAGATTAAGTAGATAGAATATGGGGTATACGGGGATCTTATTATAATATACCCAGAGCCATATTCTATCTAGTTAGGAGGGACCATACATATGACATCAGTGTAGGGTAAAGGTTGCTGGCCTTTGCTGGCAAAGTTTGCATCAGGGACTCTCACTTACTCTGCCCTGCTCGTGCATGGAATCTGCGACGTCACTTCTTCATGGACTCCCTTTATCTGTCGAGTGCTGGCTCTGGCTCCGCCCCTCCCTCCCTCTCTCCCTCGCTCACCCTCTCTCTCTCTCTCTCTCTCTCCCGCTCTCTGTCTCTGTGCCCCTTTATGTATCGCATGCAGCTTCTACAGCCTCTCTTGTACCACTTTCGACATTCCTTACAAACTGCCCTAAACTAAAAAAACAAAGGTCTCTACAGAGGCTACATTCCAACTGCAAAGCTGCTACATAGCCCGAATGTTTGTTCGTCAAAAGCTTGCGTGCCTATGTTCCCGTCTTTCTTTGTTATGGCTACACCATATTTGTGTTTTGATATGTGTGCGCGACGCTTAGGATGCGGTGGTAGCCGCAGCATCTCGCCAAGAGCAAGCCGAGTCGCGAGACCAGAGCGAATCTGGGCTGCTGTGAAGGAACTTAATTTAAGTTACTATGTTGGGGAAACTATTCTTTGCTATATAAACCCATTTTGGTAACTTACTTAAAGTTCCTTAACAGCAACCCAGGAATTGCAAGAACTGCGAGCAAGAGTGGCAAAGCTGGACTCATCTTCGCTGCCTGCGTCCGCTGCCTTGAAGGCTGAGCGCGGCAAGCTGGAGCACGTCTGCAGTGTGACCATGAAGGGCATCGAAGCACGTCGTTTGCAGCATGAGGCGCAGCTGATAGCAATTCGGTCAGCACTCGCCTTGGCGAGCCAGCTCGCCCTCCCATAGCTGGGCAAGAGATGCCGTTTCTTAAGAGCGGCGCTCGAGGAAAAAGTAGACCTGGACGCAATGCCACCCAGAGCACTAGCTACTTTCGGCGCAGCAATCACCTAGTCGTGCCCAAGCTTGAGAGGAGTTGCCCATGTGCGAGGTGCACATCGCTGGCAACGGCAAAATGGCGGCGGCAGCTCACAGCAGCAGCCCGTTTACAAAAGAGACAACAGCTTGGCACAGCACTGCTCCGGGATTCAAGTCACGACGAGAATTTGTGAATAGTACAGGTATAGGTATATGTTGGCTCATCATGCAGCTCTTGCTCACTAGTTCATGAATCTACACGACATGCATCTTTGCGAAATTCTGCATGCCTTTGTTCGTTAGATTAATTAGTTGTATGTGGTGGTATTCTGGACTTTGCTATTCGTCAACTTCATAGCGTAGCCTGGCCGACTTCGAGAAGTTATCGACTGTAAAGTAAGCTGTATTTAGACAGGTCCTGCCATGTGGCTATCATGACTGCTGCCATCATTTTTGTAAAGCTTCTCTTGGACCCCACCGAAAATTTTGGATTGCGTAGGACTACACAAGTAGTTTTCACAGAACCTTTGATAGAGATCATTACGCCAGCTATCACTGAATGAGCGCACTTTGCAGTTTATTTTGGTCATTCTTTGTGCCGCGTACCATGAAGCCTGCTGTCCTACTACTGTGAAAAATACATAGGTGACGGTAGTATGGTCGGAAACGCCCCAAGCTGGAGATTACGATGTTTCCGGCTGCGGTGTGCGAGTGCTGGCTAACTAGGTACCGGCATCTGACTCTGAGGCGCAAGTCGGATGGATAATTAGGGGCAGGAAGGCATTCATATCTGCCGTTGGTTCTATAGGACATTCCTGATGTGCAGATAATGCCGGGTTCTGATTATAAAGCCCCCCC